CCCAGGTGCGGTCATGCGGCTCTGCCCCGCGGGGCCCGGCCCGGCGGGGCGGCCCCGGAAGCCGGGACCTGACTCGAGCAGCCTAGCCCATCGGCACGCCCAACACGGGCCTCAAGGCTGCATGTCCCGGATGGGGCGGCGGGACCGGGTCCCTCCCTCCACCTCCTGGCCGCATCCTGGCCAGGGTGCAGCTTCCCCCTGGCCCTGGGATGTGGGTTTCCCTTCCCTTCCCGCCCCCCTCTCCATCCTGTTCTCTCCTCCCATTTTCTACAGAGGCAGGCATAGCCTGGGGTTGGAAGTTCAGGCCCTGCCCCTTCCCAGTGGGGCCTGAGAGAGCAAAGGTGCCCCTGCAGCACTGCTGGCCTCTCTCTGAGCCCTTTCCTTTGCTGCAGCCACTTCTCTGTCCCTTTGGACACTTGTGTCGCACACCGCTCAGGAAGGAGCTGCTGTCAGGTCTTTGAAGGCCACGTGGCCTCCCGGTTTCAGAGGAATTCCTTCCCTAGGGCTGGGTAGGCCCTGCCCTCCTTCCTCTAACTCCATCCAAATCTGCCACCCAGTCATTTCATTTGCCCACAGGCCTTAAGGCCTGGCTTTGTGCCCAGCTCTGTGCTGGGCCTTGTGGGAAGGTCCCCATTTCTGACCACACTGACCTCAGCACTAAGGGAAACACAGCAGGGGCAGTCCATTCTGTTTGGAGCTGAATTGTAAAGGATAAATGAGATTCCTGTAGGAGGAGCAGCGAGGGGAGAATGGGCGGGATGGAGGAAAGTGTGAGGAATGGCCTTTGAGCTCAAGGCCCCTGCCTGGGCCTCAGAGTGTGTGACCTCCATATGTTTATTGTGTAACAGACATGGGTTTGCTCTATGCCCATGCATGAAGGCAGCTCTGGATCACGAATATCTTCAGCTCTCTCAATGCTCAACACATAGTAAGTAATCAAGAAATACTTGTTGAACTGAATTTGAATTGAAGGAAGGAACCCCAAGTGTGTTATTATTCTATTCCTACCACTTAGGAAAGATCTGGCTCAGTGAAAGGACTTTACCCACATTAGGTCTGATCCTCCAGCCCTCGGAGGTGAGTGTTAGTCTCTGAATATTCAGTGGAGAAACCAGAGCGCAGATGGGGTGTTGTTCCCAGCTGGATCCTCCCTAATGCATCTGTTCATTCCCAGGTTGCACCTGCAGGGCAGCAGCCATGAGCCTGGTGGCCTGCGAGTGCCCACCTGGCCCTGGCCAGGAGCCTGAGCCCTGCTCACGAGCACAGTCCCAGGCCCGCCTGTACCTAGAGCAGATTCGCAACAGAGTGGCTCCAGGGGCACCTGACATGACCAAGCGAGACTACCTGGTGGATGCAGCCACGCAGATCCGGCTGGCCCTGGAGCGCGATGTTGGTGAGGACTACGAGGCAGCCTTCAACCACTACCAGAATGGCGTGGACGTTCTGCTACGAGGCATGCACGGTAAGGGCCAGGCTGAGCAGGGGCAGGGGCTGGTGAGGAATGGCCAGCTTGGAGCTCGTCTCTTTATCTGTCCATCTGTGCTGGGTGAATAGGGCCTGCAGGCCTCTGTGGATGACAATAATAATAGCTAGTGTTTATTGAGCAGTTCCTATATGCCAGGCACTGGTCCAAGGGCTGTATTAACTCATTTGAGACTCACAGTAATAGAAGATACTATATATGTTGTTCCATGTAGCTCCAAGTATATAGGAACTATTTTTTATTCCTATTTTCCAGATGAGAAACTGAGGCACAGAGCAGTAACATAGCCTTTTTAAGGTTCCATATCTATCAATTGGCAAAGCTGGGATTTGAACAGTTTTGGCTCCAGAGGCGGTATGCTTAACCCACTATGCTGGCCTGGCCCTGGAGCTGGACTGGGCTCTGGCCCTCTGGGGGTTTGCATATAATGGGGGGAGACTGATGATTTGATGGTGGACAGTTATAGTCTCAGGTTCAGTGATGAGCAATGAGGAAGTGAAGGGGGGGAAACTGAGTCCAGGCCAGGCCAGCATAGGGGCTTTTCTACAAGTCCAAACCCTAATCTGAGCACTGTCCAGCTGAAACATCGGGCACTTCTCCAGAGAGGGAACAGCAGAGCCTGGAGGTGAGAGGAGAGGCCTGTTCAGGGCAAAGTAAGGCATTTCCAAGCTGGGGGAGAGGGTCGCCGGAGGCCAGTGTGAGACCTCAGATGGCCTTGGTAGCCAGGCTGAGGGTAGGAGTTGAGCCCTGATTTGTGCTTCCTGCCCTCCTGCTGAGACTCCTCAGTGCCTGGGCTTCAGGTCTGTCCTGCGAATTCCATTGTCCTTCAATCCTGATCCCTACTCTCGCTTTTTTCACACTGGGCATCAGAGATGAAGAAAGCGTGTTCTCTGGGAGCTTCTGCCTCTTCCTGTGAAAATGGACACAGAAATCCCCACTCAGTCTCTTCCCCAGCTGTGATGGCTGCCAGAGGTGGTGGGTGCCAACTGTAAAGTATTGTAGGCTAGGGTGTCCGCAGCTACCAGCCTCTCCTGCCATCTTCTTCCCACCTCCCCCACTGCTGGTCTCCCACCCAGAGGAGGGGCTCAGGAACAGATATGGGTCAGAATCTGCTGACCAGCGTCAAAGTAGGCACTCAGTCTTATGGAGAGCAGGGGGCAGGCAAGGGGAGCTGGAACCACAGCCCTCCAAGGCCAGGGTGGGGGGCAAGGGTGGGTCCTGGTGACCCCCTCCCCCCCACAGTCGACCCCAACAAGGAGCGATGTGAGGCTGTAAAGCTGAAAATTACCAAGTACCTGCGGCGGGCAGAGGAGATCTTCAACTGCCACCTGCAGAGGACACTGGGCAGCGGAGCCAGCCCTGGCACGGTGAGGAGACCCCTCCCCAAGGGCCTGAGGGCTCTGAGGGCTGAGAGCTGAGCCCCAATCCATAGGCCAGTGGTCTATGTTCCCAATTTTGGGCTGCAGGACAGGGCTGGCAGCGGTGTGTGCCAGGGCTACCCCTCCTCCCACCCTCCTTTTGGCTTCCTCTCTCCCCCACATCCTCCATCGTTCATTCATTTTCAGACACTTAGTGAATCATCTCCAGTCCAGTCTCACGCCCTCACAGAGTACACACACACGTCTCCCCACCCTCACACATGGCTCATACACATGCTCACATGTGTACACACTCCAAGGCTTCCAGATCTGTTTGTGTTTGAATGGGCCTCAGTGAGTATTTGGAGCAGACATGAATACCCCGTGTGCACATACATACATGCATACATAGATGTGCACAGATGCTGTCCCCATATGGCTTTTCTTAACCCAGTTGGCACTCGGAGGGGATTGAAAACACACACACACTTCTCATGCCCACAGACATGCACATGCACCCCTCCTAGGCTCACTTTTCCCCAAGGCAGATGCCTGGGCCACATGCCTTGGTCTTTGAGGCATGTTCCCTGAGATCTACATGTTCTCAGGTTATTTCCCCACCCCTGTAGCATCTGCCTCCTGTAACTGGGCTTTCAAGGGGTGGTTTTTGAAGCCTTAATAACTCTCTGAGCCTTGGAGAAGGGCTGGGCGAGGGCTGAGTGAAGAGGGCAGTGTGGCCAGCCTGGACAAGTCAGGACCAGCTTCTCTGCTCAGCCTGTCCTTGTGAGGTGAGGTTGGACTGTACCCCATTTTTGCCCTCTCCCTGTGCTCCCCTAGCAGCTGGAGGCCCTGCCCACTGCCTGGTGAGAAGCATGGCTGAGGAGGGCTGGGTCCTGAGGCTGTGTGGCCTGTCTCCCACCTCCGCAGGGTTTCAGCAGCCTGAGGCTCCGGCCCATCCGCACATTGAGCTCTGCCCTGGAGCAGCTGAGGGGCTGCAGGGTGGTCGGGGTCATCGAGAAGGTGAGTAAGCAGAGCCTGCAGTGTGGGAGGAGATGGTGTGTGCAACTGGGGGTGACTGGTGGGCAGAAAGAGCAGCTACCCCTAGTCCTTCAGAGGTGGCTGGAAAGGGGTCAGGAGGTCCAGGGGGAAGAGAGCAGCTGTGTCCATTGGCTCCCTATCCCTCCCTACCCCAGCACACACCAGTCAGGTCCTGGAAAGGAAACTGGGAACCCAAGAGGCAGACAGCGACTTCCCACAGCTCTCCAGCTCAGACACAGAAAACTGCTCCCTCAGAGATTCAAGACAGAGGCCACAGGAGAAGCTGTGCCCAGGGCATGCTGCCAGCACACACTGCCTGGCTCACTCCCAGTTCCCCCAGGTCCCCCCCCTCAATCACTCTGCACCCTGGGGCTGCAGCCAAGAGTCTCCTCACCAAACACAGCCAAGAAGTTCCTGTGTCGGGAAGATGCTCATCTCCAGAAACCTCCCTCAGAGTGTCCAGACTGGCCCGTGCATCATCCGAGGCCTTGGCCACTATGCCCTTTCTCCCCAGGCCCCACCCTCCTCCTGACCCCATCTGGGACCTTTTCCCTTAATTCAGGGCAGACAGGAAGATAGGAACTGACATCCCAGCCCACACCTGGGACACTCATTAGAGTGGAGGAATCAGAAGGACAAACAGTGGAGTCAAATGAGATTGGAGCTGTCGACGTAAGAAACATTGAAACCTGTATGAATTTTTATGAGTTTATTTGAGCAAAAATGACAATTGCTGGGAAATGAAATCTCAATGGATTGAGAAAATGCTCCAGAAAAATGGCAGTTTTACCACTTATTTTATTTATTTAAATATATCTTTATTGATTTCAGAGAGAGGAAGGGAGAGGGAGAGAGAGAGAAACATCAACAATGAGAGAGTCATTGATCAGCTGCCTCCTGCACGCCCCCAACTGCGGATCGAGCCCGCAGCCTAGGCATGTGCCCTGACCCGGAATTAAATGGTGATCTCCTGGATCCTAGGTCAGTGCTCAACCGCTGAGCCAGGCCTGGCCAGGCTTTACCACTTATTTTATGCATCAGAATCAAAGGGGAAGACCTGGGGTGGGGTTTACATAAAACCCATTGGTAATCAATTAGGGAGGCAGGAGAGAGCAACGCAGGGTGGGGGTGGG